TAATATTTGGTGATCAGTCTTGAAGCTATGGAACACATTATTAAAAATTGTTTCCCAAATTAACAAATTTGAGTTGTACTTGACTAAATGAATTTAAGGAGTTGTAAACCACTTCTTACAGTTCTGCTGAAATTAATTTATCAGAAACCTCAATGATTGAGAAACAAGGTTTGGTATCCTTGTTAATTTTCTGAATCCTTTTTTTTTCCCATTCCTAGAGCTAAATATAGAGTCTGGAACCTTTGCATACACTTGCAAAGATTCCTTTCATTTCTTACCCATCATCCTACTAGTCAAAACATGGCTTTCTTTTGTTTCTTTCAAAAAATGTGAAAGCTCTCTTTAAGGTTAGGGCTTTTGTCTAGCTTGCTGTTCTGAATAAGATTAACCCCTTTGATTTGTCTTAGACTTGTTGAAAAGGTTCATCCTCTAATTATTTATTTGAAAAAAAAAGGTTTATCCTCTAATGTTTGTTTGATGTGCTTCTGAAACTCAGACAAAAGTGGCCGCCTGTTTATTCACTTTGTTGTGGCTTCAGAGGTTTTATCGAAGGTTGCTTTTGAAGTTTGAAGATTTCTGGGTGCTTCCAATTTGGATATCTTTCTATCTTCTTTTTTTGGGAGAATTTTATATCTTCTACTTTGTCTGGTGTTGGAGAAACAAGGAGCACAAGGAGCTTGGAGAAGAGCCATATTTGCTGGACTATGGTAGTTGGAGAGGATGCTAAAATGTTACAGCATATGTTTCATTTTTCATACATGCTTTAGGATAGTGTGGAGTCCTTTGCTTCTGTTTCGGTGAAGACTCCCTCTTCTTTTTAGGATACCATCATCTACTCCGCAAAGAAGTTGGGTTGCTATTCATAGGATAGAATACTATGATATTTAATGGGTACTACTATGTTATTTAATTTGTAAATAACTCTATCATGTACTCATGTATTTCTAGGACTCGTGTGGTGCTATAAATAGCACACTCTTATTCAATGACAGACATCCAAGATTATTCATTCTTCATGGTATTAGAGCCGTTAGAAAAGAAAAAGAAATTCGCTTTTCTTTTTCTTGATTGTTAACCCTATTGGTTTGTGTATCAATCTGCATTATGTCACATGCTTCTTTGTCTCGACCTGCCTTATATCGGCTTCATCTTCATATACTGTTAACATTTCTCCAGTCATCATTACTCAATCTCATTTATCCTCTTCCACAGATGTCGAGCTTCAATCTTCCTCCATTGCTGCTGCGTCTCTCTCCTTCCTTCCTCTTCCAGCAGCTTCTCTCAACAATCCTTCCTTTCATGTTTCTTATATTCACAATTACATTAGTGAAACTCTTGATTTTGGGAACTAAATGATTTGGAAGTCCTTTTTTGTCCCTGTTTTTCAAGGCCATGGGATTCACTACATCGATGATGCTTATTCACCTCCACCAGCCACTGTCATTGAAGATGGCAAAACAGTACCTAATCTGGATACTATTCTCTGGCAACCAGTCGTCTATTTCGTTCTTTCATAGATTAAAGCAAGATTAAAGTAATTGTATCCACAGACGTTCTTCTCAGCCTACTTAAGTCCAATATCACCTTCACTGCCCGACAAGCATGGGTAGCCATTGAAATATTGTTTAATATTGCCTAATCATTTTTCAGCCAGCTCCATTATTCTTCTGGACATTCCCATAATTAAGAAGAGTTATTCATGAATCAGAGTAAATATGCCACAGAATTGCTTCCTAGTAGTGGTACAGAGTCCTGCAAACCTATATCTACAACAATAGCTTCGTGGTGACAGCTCGGTAAAGGGAACAATCTGTTGCTTGATGACCCACTTTCCTTCATAGTATTTTTGTGGCCTTGCAGCATCTCAATTTTAGCTGTTCTGAGCTATCCTTGAATGCTAATCAAGCATGTCAACATGAACCACGTGAGGATCATTATCAAGCAATTTACAAATTCTTCTTACATTTGTGGCATTGTTCACTATGATATTCAGTTCTATCATAATTGTTCTCTTCATTTTGTTGGATACTCTGATGCACAGTTAGGTAGGATGTCCAGACACTAGACGTTTTACAGCTGGTTATTGTACTTTTCTGGCAGTAATCTTATCTCATGGAGTGTTAAAAAACAACCTATCGTTTCCTTCTCGAGTTCTGCGGCTGAATACCGTGCTACTGCAGGTTATTGTAGTACTGCATCTTTGATAGTTTTTGGTTGCAGATTGTGTTAACGTCGGCGCCTAAGAGTCTTCCTGTCATTTATTGTGGCAGCATAAGTGCAATCTATATATCCTCTAACTTAGTGAATCATGGAAGGTTTTTTCATACTGAACTTGATATTTCCCATGAAAACGTTCAATCTGGATTACTAGTTGTATGCATCAAGATCAGTTGACTGGCATCTACACATTTCGATCACTTAAGGCCCAGTTTCTGCTTGACATCACATCTTGCTGGAGGTTAATAGGATGAAGTAATATGTTACTTAATTTGTATTACTATGCTATTTGATATGTAAGTAATTCTACTATGTGCTCATGTACTATTAGGACTGTAACTCTAGTGTGGTGCTATAAATAGCAAACTCTTATTTAATAGTTGACATCCTAGATTATCTTTTGCAAATTCTTCAACTATTTTGTGTTGGTATGTTTCTTTTTTTCTTTTTCTTGTTCATCTGCTGAGGATACCATTTTCTTTTAATCTTGATTCTTGTAATAGTTTTCTCTTTCAAATGATATCTATTCTTTTATAAAAAAACCCTCAATATTTTGGTCAAAGTTGTGATATCTTTAGCCTTTTTTCTTGTTTACCGTTTTAATGCCATCGTATTAATCTTCTCTCTCCTTCTTGCATAAGTGTCAGCCTTGAGTTTCATCTGCTTTTAGAAGCTATGGATCACTTTAGCATTATTTTCTGTGGCCTTGATAGGTGTTGTGTCGATATACTTATTTTAGTTAAGTGTAGCATGTGTGATTGGGAAAAGCTTGCAGCAAGAGAAAGACTTAATATTTTAGATGCATATGCTTACCTGGTTTATCTATTACTTATCTTAGTGTGCAACTCCTTTTTTTTTTTAATATATTACATTTATATGTTGACCTATGCATTGTCTATTGATCTTGTTGTATCATTTTACATTTTGTTGTAGGATGATTGGTCCTGAAATGCCATCAGCTGAGCTACTTGCTGCAGCAGCCAAATTAACAGAGGCCCAAGCTGAGCTTAGGTATCTTTTAACGGTATTCAAGAAAAACATGCTTCAGTCTATTATTATTCTTTTAAGGATACATGCCTAATATGTTATTCTCTGCATTGAGAAGCAGACACCAGAAA